AAATGTTGAAAACCTGCAGAATTGATAACGGCACAACAACGTGAAAGCTATCCATAAAAAGACAATTAGGTGCACCAGACCATGACATCTCGAAGAGTTATATGTGCAACCTGAATCAAGTGATGGGTCACATCTTGCCATACATCACGAAAATGGTAAGTAAACTACTAGTCTTTAATCTAAATTGAGAGTCAGCCAATTGTGAGTTGTGATTCGTGTTATATACCTATCCTGAGAGTCTAATGATACATTATTAATTCACGAATGTGTCTAATGCCATTGTGTTTGGATGAGACAAAATCAAAAATTGCAGGTGTCCGAAGGGAAGGATTAAAACGACAAGGACTAGAAGTGCAATTTTAGAATAGTCGATCAAATTTTTTCAAGTTAAGGGAAGTAGTGGGTCACAAACCCTAAAACACTCCATCGTGCTTAAAAGAGATCACCATATCTGCCTCTTTCAGCACTCTTCCTTTATCAAGCAAAGAAATTATTTTTGAGATGGGAAAATCAAAGAACGAGGCTAAAAGAGGTCAATCCTCCGAGATTGAGAAACATGCAGAGTCTAAATCAAGTCGAAGGAAACTCTCTGACGCGAACCTGATTCACCTCCACCAAGAAACAATATGCTGCCATCTTCAGATCTACCGGAGTTACCAAAGAGCTCGAATCATTTAATACGGCTCAAGAAAAAGCTCGGTCAGAAGAAAGTGATGAGCATCAAGGCCTTGACTTTCTAGAAAGATCCAACTAAGGAAGTTTCTGAGACACATGATGTGCCAGAAGCTGTGAATCCGAACTTTCAGAAGGGCCTCCCAAAGGTTATCATGTCTGATGATTCGCCCTTGGATGCAAGTCTGAATGAGAAAGATGAGTCCCCTCTCTCTATTGTCCTTGTAAACAAGGAGACAGATTCTGCTGAGGAAAATAATCTAAGTGTTGACTCTGAATCAGGTCAGAAAGAGGTGGAAGTGAACAAAGACAAAGAGGCCATCTCCTTGAGATCACATCTGAAGATACAACTGTCAAAACAAGCAGGAGGAAGCGTATTCTGAAGCGATTAGGGTTGCGGTCTTTGAAGAAACAGAAGACAGGTGAGTCAAGCACACCAACTCAAGATGCCACCAAGTCTCCATCTCTGCCTAAGGAAGCAGCTGTCTCAGCTCGAGTCCGATCGAGCAGAGTGCTGGCTCTGTTCCTGCTGTGATCAAGAAAAGGTATGATCAATTTCTGAAATGTAAGGTAATTGCTAAACGACTGGTGGACATGAATGAGACAGATCAGTGGGGCTATTTAGCATTCATCAATAAGGGATCAATGGAATCCACTGCCTCTCTTCTCTTGGTGTGTATGTCAAGCAGGTGGTGGCTGATTTCTACGCAGGTTTACCCAACACAAAGCTTGAAGTTGACACAGAGGAAGTAGCTGTCACAATTCGCGATCACCCGTACAAGCTTTCCTCGTCAGTGATCAATGAAACTCTAGCTCTGGCCTCATTAACTGAGGAAGAGGAAGATGCGGAAGTGACGTTGGATGAAGCATCAGCTATATGGTTAGCAGAATTTCTCACTAATGGGACTCGAAAGGAGTGGGAAATTCTTACTACAGCTGATCTAACACCTTACTATGGAGCTCTCATGATTATTTCTGCTCACAACTGGATTCCATCTACACACAAGACGCATGTGTCTCTTGACAGAGCAAAACTGATCTACAAAATGGCTCATGGGATCCGGGTAGACATGAGAAAGATGATCTTCAAGCAGATCATGAATCTTGGTGTAATATAGAGGAATGACACTCGCTGGCTGATCCTTCCTCGTCTGATCATGAGACTTCTTCCGAAGCAGCACCAGGTTCCTGCTTACACTGGTGAAAAGATTGATTGTGCCATTGCCTACAAGTAGGATAAACGTGTGGGAGAAATCTATGAGCAGCGCTGGAATAAGGGAAAAGCCAAGAATGAGCCGAAAGGGAGAAAGTTTACTCGTACATCTCATCTGCCATCTTCTGCTTCACCAACTCCTACACCGAGTTCCAGAACTGGACCACGCAGAGTTTCTTTCTACGAGCTTGGATCAGTTGTTGTTCCTGAGGGTCACTCACCAGGGCAGATTTGCAATCAGCCCTTCAGGATACAACTTGGGTTCTTCAAGCCTTGGCTGAGGTCGTTCAGGAGCTTCAGAACTCGGTGCCAGGTTAGTGCTCGCTTCTTCCAATAATTCTTAGTATTTTCTTATGTTTTTAATCCGTATGCTCACAAGTACGGGGAGAAACTGAAGAATGAGATGAAGAAGGACCTAAGTTTGTGGGGGGAGCAACCATTTTATGTAATCATGTTGTTTTTAATTGCACCACTTGTTGCAATTTTCTTGTTTTCAGACAATGTTAGTTTATGGGAGAGCTTTTGTGTGTACTATCTTTTGGCTAAGATGTATTAAAATGCTTGAACCCGTTATTAGGATAATATAAGTATGTTTTTGGTTCTTGGTTGTTTTGATCATATTAACTCTTAGTGCAGTATGTGTGGTTGTTGGTATTGTGTTCGTGTCCTTGTATTTCATCTCAGATATTTGTGAGACGACGAATTAAAAAGGGGGAGTGTAACACCCCGACCGCCCACGGATAATGGGTCATCCACACCCGCTCTCTTGGCCTATGGGCCCCATCCCATTCCAACAGCAGGTCCGTTAATTTTCCAAGGCTGGTCCGCTAATTTTCCAAAGCTTTAGAGTCATGTTTACTGACCCTACAATCACCACATAACCTTTCCCCCATGATTTGGCCTCACTTACACGGTATCGCAAATCACTTCCCGATAGGTCACCCATCCTTTGACTATTCTAGCTCAAGCACGCTTGACTCTGGAGTTCTCTCTGGATATGCTCCCGAAAAGGTAAATGCACTTTAGTATATCACAACTCGGGATGTTACAATTCACCTCCTCTCCAAGAATGCAACATCCTCGTTGCGCCCCACGACAGGTCTCAAGACGCCTCTCAGGTCAGAACTGAGATGGCTAACCAGCTCTGATACCACTCTCAGGTCAGAACTGAGATGGCTAACCAGCTCTGATACCACTTGTAACGCCTGACCGCCCACGGCTAATGGGCCACCCACGCCCGCTCTCTCGGCCCGTTGGGCCCATCCCGTTCCTACGGCCGGTCCGTTAATTTTCCAAGGCTTTAGAGTCATGTTTACTGACCCTTCAATCACCAGATGACCTTTCCCTGTGCTTTGGCCTCACTTACACGGTATCGCAAATCACTTCCAGATAGGTCACCCATCCTTTGACTACTCCAGCTCAAGCACGCTTAACTCTAGAGTTCTCTCTGGATGTGCTCCCGAAAAGGTAAGTGTATTTTGGTGACATAGGTAGCCAAATCAATCTTCTTAAGTCTTTCCATATATCACAACTCGGAATGTTACATGGAGAATGAAGATGAGAGAGAGAGAGAGAGAGAGAGAGAGAGAGAGAGAGAGCTTTTAGCAATAGAAATTTTGTACGTCCGGAAAATGAGAGACAAAGCACGTAAGGGTTAGGAGCGTAAGTGGTTCAGAGACTGCCGTAGGTCAGTGAACATTGTAAGGCTAGTCAACAAATCAATGTATGTCTTAATCTTGATTGAAAGATTGCTTTTACAAAGAACGTGTATGTACTTTTAAAAGAATCAATCTAGTCGTATTTCTTGGAAAGAATTATCCCTAGGTCACTATGTATTCTAATTTTTGTAACTCATTTATCTTACATTAACAGATACTACTGAGATACAAGCTGTGTTTTTGAGAAGAGTCTCAACAACAATATATTCAGACAGAGTATACGAAGGAGTATGGAAAGTTGCAACTACAGTTATTCATATCAGAACAGCAAATTGAAAACAGTAAAATGGTGATTGCATGTTTTTGGTGTGTTTCTTGCACAGACGAGACCGCCACTTACAGAAACTCTAGCCCTGTTCCCGTTCCTATCACAACAGAGAGCTTTCTTGTGGTTACATGTTCAGAATCATGAGGAAAAATGAAGAGATCATCAAGTCTTGAATAAGAGTATACAGTGTGTAAATCGTCATGTTTGTTGGGTATAATACTCCAATACTAGTAACACAGCAGATAACTATGTTGACAAGAAACGTCATTCTGCTGATTAAGCTCCCCAACAACATGCTACAGGTTCAGGTACAGCGACAGCAGAAGCATATAAAGTTTTGCAAGTCTCGCATGTTCAAGTATAGAGCGGCAATAATGAGACCTTTTTTGCTGACCTTTCCAACTTGCAGTCAAGCTTACGTGCTGTCACTAGCAGCCTGAGCAAATAAGAGAGTCACAAAACGGTGTAGCCCCAGAAAACAAGGGGCATTGTAAACGTCATTACACAAGTACAGAAAGAGCCTGAAAGGCAGGGTCATATCGGTATAAATTTGCAGATGGAGATACTGCAACTATTGTGTTTAAAGGAGAGTTTTGTTGCGATCGCATGTACATAACAGTGTGACAAAGTCTGATACATTAGACTGAAGACAATGATGTATTAGTGTAATCAATGGCAGCGGATACTTAGTGCATATCCTGAACTTTGCAACTTGTTATGTAATCAAATGCTTAGCATAAAACGTTTGAGAAAGAAAAAAACAATCAAAGCAAATGTCTTGTTCACCCAGACAATAATAGAACACACATGCATGCAGTTTTACAGAAGAAAATATCTTACAACAGAAACCGAAGAAACAAAAGCCGGTAAGATGATGTTTCAAAGCCGGTCGTTATTCAACACACAACAGTCCAGACACACGCATAAAAGAGTACGCAAATCATTACAGGCAACGATCCAGATGCTTAGTGCAGAGAAAGAGGATCTTGTTGCTCCATCTACTTCTGTGATCTTTAATCTTGTGGTGATACTTCAGGGGCTCTATACCATAACCCAGTCCTGCAAATACACAGCAGTTTAAAATTCTCAGATGAACCTGAAAACAGTCAAGATTTGTGTGCAAGACAACTCAAGGACCACGGACCTGCAAAATAGAGAAAAATGTGATTCAAATACTTTTTGATATTCGGAATTGTTTGTTAGGCATGCAAAATATATCTAAGAAAGTTCATTTCTCATATTAAAAAAAGAAGGAACAAGAGAGGCGTTGATGGTCTTTAGTTCTAAAAGTTCATTGGAGAGGTGATAAGAGTAGAAAGTTGCAACTTACCGAATCTACTTCTGAAGTTTCCTCCAACATTGGGCATTTCTTCACTTGCGGTTTCAAATTAGTAAGAGTTGAGAGTTCGACTCCTTTAACAATTGTCTCCAGCTTCTCACAATACTTTATGTTCAGCTCTTCTAAGCTGCTAGGCATCTGTGATGCCTCCGGGAAAAGCGTTTTGATTTTGGGACAGCAATCTATGCTTACCTTCTTCAGCTTCTTGAAGCTCCCACCCCAGCATATAGTCTCCAACATTGGAAAGTTTGAAATCGACAATGTCACCAGTGATCCCAAACTTTCCCCATCCACTTCATAGAAAAGGTTTTTTATATCCCTGCACATCCGTAGCGAGCAACCCTTTACTGATCTGTTCTCGCTAAAGAAAGATTTGAGCATTGTTGAGTCAATGTCCACAAATGACACAAACTCAGCCCCTTGTAGGTCTTTAGATTCATGGATCTTCATGACTTCCTGTTGACTTGTGGAATCAAAACTTGATAGTATAGTCTTGTATATATTCTTCTCAATGGGGACATGGCAAAGACGTTCCTTAATGACATCTTCCTTCTCGAGACTTGCTTCCGAGGAGCTGGCCTCGTCAGATCTCTTACTTTCAATCTTATCCCTTATTTCACTCCATTCCTCACCTTCAAAACGACTTCCATCTGCCAGAATAATATGCTTTAGACATCGGACTTGGGTCTTCTTTGGCAACTCTGGTGTCTCCACTTTGGTTCCAGAGAGATTCACCTCACATAGGTAAGACATGTCCTCAAATGATCCCTCGATCGTATGCAAATTTTCACATCCGGAAACATCAATGACCTCGAGATTTGTAAGTTTTTGGATGTTCGGGAGAACTGCTATGTTGGTGCAATCGTTCATGAGGAGTTTGTTAAGATTAGTCAGCTCCTCGATGGTGGTCGCCAACTCGCTAAGATTAGTTCCCGAGAGGTTAAGTGTTTTGAGTTCCTTCTTATCTTCAAAGCACACTTCAAGCATTTCCACTAAACTCGTAGTGCCAGAGAGATCAAGAATTTGCAGACCTGACAAGGGCTTCAAACTAGGCAACCTTCTCAATCTGCTACAGTCACGCAACAAGAGCCGCTTAAGGGAGTGAAGCTTGTCGCCTACGGCAGAGTCCTGGAATATTGGCAGCCGCTCAATTTGGCTCTCTGAGAAGTCAAGAAGTTGAAGTTTTGTGAGATGATAGAAGTTTTTGTTTTTGCTTTTGTTTTTCTTCTCTCCTTTTGTGTTGTCGAAACACGTTTGAAGCCCATGAGCACCAGAAACATCAACAACCTCAAGTTTTACAAGTTCTTGTATGTCCGGCAAATCTTCCAGTAAAGGACAGTCTTTGATGATGAGACAGTGAAGTTCTGTAAGTTCAGAAATGCTGGAAGGGGAAGTTGTGATCTGAAGCCTAGAGAGGTGAAGACTTTGTAGTTTAGACAATGCCTTGAAGAATCCATCAGATATTTTCTTCAAGGAGCTCGCACCTGAAACTTCAAGAGCGTTTAGTTCCCGAAGAGCCTTAAGCTCCTCAATATCTGTCAGTAGATCACAGTCCCTGATTACAAGAACCCGGAGTTTGGGAAGAATTGCAAAAGCTGTGATAAAAGGTTCCAGTGTAGGTTCGAACAGACCAAGTACTTCAAGATCACTCAGCTTCTTAAAATACTTTACAGGAGTTTCACGACGCAGACGGTCTCCACTAACTAGAATGGTAGAAATCTTGTCCCCTTTCTTTGCTTGCACTGTTTTAATCATATCATCTATATGAGTGATTTTCCCTATACCTTGTCTCTTGTCACCACAATAAACTCTAGAGAATCTAAGTCTTGATCTTCCAAACAGCCCACGACATCGAGGATCGATTAAAGTGCTCATGGCTCTCTCTGGTACAACCACATTGTTTTCCTGTATCTTCAGCATCCCACGGTTTATAAGCTCCATCAAGATTAAATGACCATCCTGGTACGCCTTTTCGACGGACCTAACGGGATCAAAGTAGCCTTCAAGTATCCATTGTGTGATCAGGTCACGGTAGTAAACACTGCCACAGTGCTCAAAGAAGTCCAAGCTATGCCAAAAGCAATCCAAGATGGCATCCTTCAATGGAAAACCGATTTCCAAGAGCTCGTAAGCAAGACGCATGATTGGATTGATAGCGCTCTCAGAAGGACGAGCAGCCGAGAGAACCTTTTTTATCTTTTTCTCTATCCTTTCTTGTAGTTCCTTTTCTTGTTCTGTAGCAAGAGTGCTCGGAGTAATCTGCTTTAGGGACTTGGCTAGCACGACGATTGCAGCTGGTGAATTCTTGCTCTTTTCCACTATGTCAGGTAAAAATTTCTCGTAAGTCTTCCAATCCTTCTTCATAAGACACGCAAATAAATACTTCAGGTTAAGCTCATTGATTGACTGGAGTAAAGCCTCTGACATATTCGTAGCCGCCTGCGTCTCATCTCCAGTACCAGTAGGGGGAACACCTTTCTCATCAGGGTCTATAACCGGTGTGTTGTTCAGGGCTTGGGGCTCTGGTTTCCCCTCATTATCGCTTTCCTCTGATTTGATTCCATCAGCAGACTCATGTTCGCTGCCATCTTTCTCACTCTTTGTATCCTCATCTTTCACACCTTCCTCAGCAGTCTTTGAAGGCTCCTCCGCCTCTTCTTTTCTTCTTGTAATAAGAATCTTGAGACGATCCTTCTGATCTTTAAGAAAACTTTGTTCTCTAAGAAACATCTCAAGTTTCAGTTCCTTCATCACCTTGTCTTCACTAGTCTTGTTTCCTTCATCATCAAGAATCAACAGAAGGTACGGCGGCGTTACTGTATGTGAGTCATCTTTCTTCTCTCCTGCTTTTGGCGTGCTCCCTGCTGGTTGCTTCTTCACGTTTTTCCCAGTCTTATCCTTGCCTTTCGCAGCCGACTCTTTTGCTTTTTTCTCCGCCGCCGCCTCCTCCTCTGCTTTCTTCACCTTACTTTCTATTTCCTCAGTTATCATCTTCTTCAAATCAGCCAACAAAGCATCCGGCTTCTTCTCCTCCTCTTCGTCTTCATCTCTATCATCCACTTCAGTCTCTTCAAAGTCAGAGTATAGACATAACTGGGAAGCAATGTTCTCGTAAAGCGACAATTCATCATCAAACTTTCTGTTAAGATGCAAGCAGATGGTCAGAAAACAACTGCCAGTATCAGTAGCATGCTTGCTCACCAGCTTAGCCAGCCTTGTCTTCCCGATTCCAGCTTCACCAGCTAGCAAAACCCTCTGAAGGCCATCTCTTCCCAGAACCTCCACTATCCCTTTATACAACTTCTCATCCTTCTGCGTTTGACGCAGCTCTGCATAATCCATTTCTGTGAAATAAAACTGGATTAGAGCTTACAAGTGAATAAAAAAAAAAAAGAAGCAAATCTTACAAACTGGTATAGAGACAGTCCCATTTAATGTCAATTAGTTTTTGAGTTAAAAGTCTATCTAAGTTAGCATGATATCAGAATCTGATCTAAGTTACAACTGGTACCCTTTTGACTCTCTCTTAACTCAGACTCAAACTCAAAATTATACACAGAAAATTTAAATCTTTAACTATCTACCTATCTACCACCTTCTCAAAATATTCGAGTAGATATATACATAAAGCTGAGAAAAATGCAGAGTAAAGTAAGAGAACAGTAACCTTGATGAGTCTCCGCCATGATCGGACAGTAGATTAGGTATCTTCGCCTTCTGGACAAAGCAAAGTCAAACTCTGATCAAATATCTCTCTCCCCCACCCCTCCCCTTTTCTTTAGCTTTCATTATCATACCTCTGTTTCTCATAACCTCTACAAGAGCATGTTTATTGCTAAATTTTTTTTAAAGATTGCTTAAGTGGGTCAATGAAAAGAAAATTTAATGGACAGAGAAAAGAGAAAGAGAAAGTAGCATCAAAAGATGAAAAACAAGGGAAGCAACAGAGAAACAACCACCCTTCTATTGCTTAATTAAGCAATATTTCTTCTCTTTTCTTCTTTGTTCCTTTTCTTTTAATTATAAAACTAGATTTTAACCCGCGCAACCGCGCGGTTGTTTGTTTTAGTTTAAAGTTAGTTTCATAAACATTTTGCTTTCATTTGTAAATTGGTATATATTATAGTAATCACATATTTACGATATATATAGTAAATGTTTTTCAAACATAATAATATTATATAATACGTGTTTTAATCAAATAGATTGTTTCAATTTTTTTATATTATACATGTTTTTCAAACATGTGTTTGTTTTTTCTTCTAAATTTTATTGTTTGTTAGATTGGTATTTCATTTTTAGATAAATTAATATAAATAGAACTTGATTAAATATTAGTATACTTTAATTTGCAAAGATAATGTAAACTTCAAAGAATTTTTTGCTAAAAACTAAACTTATATTTTCATGAATTAATATTATAAAGAAATTTATTAAAAATAATTTTTTAAACAATTTCTTTTTTAAAACAATATAATTTTAAAAATTTACATCGAAATAAATTTATCTATTATATATAGCGTGTAAATTTTGTTAGGGTACATAAATTTTCCATATTACGAATCTGTGATTTTTGTTAATATATTGTGGATTCATTTAACTATTATTGACATATTTTCTTATAAATAATAGAAGAAGATTCCTAAACTTATACCTATTGACATATTTTGCGTGACTAAATTGGAAGGTGTGAAGTAATTTACCAAAACCAAATTGTTAAGCGTATTTTTGTTATCATAGATATGATTTTTCATAAGATATAATAATGATAAGATTATTAGAGAGTTAATGTAACATGACTTTCTAGTAATAGTCCATTTTTAAAAAAATCACACATGAAGTCAAGTCATGACTTCTGTTTTAATATATAAGATATTCTAAGAAATTCACTTAAACTACTGCAATAAATATATTTTAAATTTCTCATACTTCTTTAAACTAATACTCTATAAATTAATATACACTAAAAATTTCTATAAAATAATATAATTTTATAATTTCAAATTAATTTTTAGTTCAGTTATTATATCGATAAATTAATAATCTCTAAATTAATAAAAAATTATAATTTTGGTGTAGTAAGTTTTTTGTTTTGTTAATACTTTTGTAATTGTGTGTGAATAAATATAATTAGGAAATTGCACCCACCTGGAAAAAAAATTAATTGTGTGGAAACACCGTGACCTAGTGGTCACAATTTAAAGATTTCTATATCTAATTCTGAAGTTCAAATCCTAGACTATGCATTTTTTATATCATGAGATCTGCCTTTCAATTTAAAAAAAAAACGAATTATTCAAAAAGTTAGAGAAAAAAATTATAAAAATTTTTTTACAAGGCAAAAGAAATATCACCAAAAAAAATCTCATAAGACGGCTCAGAGTGCTATATTTAGATGGAAATTCTTATAAGACAAATAGAATTATCAGCTATAATATAGTTTTTATAATATTTATTATAGTTTGTAATATTATAATTAACCAGAAAAAAAAACTACCTACCCAAAATCATATTCTCTATCCTTTTTCTTTTTTTTTTTATCTCTCTGTAACTTTTCTTTTAAAAACTATTTATACTGTTTTTGGTTATTTAACAAATAATCCTATATAATTATGTAATAATACTTTTTTCTGTATCTTTGTATAGGCTACAAATTCGATTCAGTTCCATTAATACTTTACAGTGTCAACTTTAACATTTTACTCTAGAACAACAAAATTTATAATTCTGAAATTCTTGAGGATGGTTTTAAAATGTTTTTATCACAAATATAACTCTACAATGATTAAAATGACCAAAACATTTTATTAAAGATTTAAATAGACAGGTATATCTCAAAAATTAACTAATATAGATTTAGACTTTCTTGGTAGAATCTTTTATATACTAAATCACAAGTCATTTGGTAATTTTTTTTTGTTAAATTGATAAATTAAATTTTGACAAATAGAAAATACCTTTTTAAAAAAATACAATTGAATGAAAAACAATTTTCTTTGATTCCTAATTTTAAGCAATTATCCCAATATTTCATCCACGTTCTACCTTGATTTCAAACTATTTTTTCTTTTATATAAATTTTGGTCTAATAATTTACTCTCTGTTTATTTTTTTCTCTTCTCCAACGAAACAATAAACTTCTCTAACGAAACAATCGATCTTGTGGAAACCCATGACTATCGGGTAGTGATTTTCCCGTTGAATCAAAGAAGCATAAGGTTTTGGCTTGACAAAGAAGATTTTGCATGTTTTCAAATTTTTACTATTTTTATTTGATTTGTTGACTATTGTCCAATCAAAATTAAAATCCAGTATTCACTAGTGAAATTGAGGAAGCTACAGCTATAGCTGGACGTATCATGGAGTTTGCATTATTGAATCCAAAGGTGATTTACTTTACTTAATTACTGCTAGACAAATCTTTTTAGTTTACAAAATGTAAAGTAAAGTTGTAAATTTTAATCTTATAATTTCAACAAAATATCAAAATAAGTAATGTGGATTAATTTTGTTTAAAGGTGTGTTATTTAAACGGATGTTATGTAAACTAACATAAAATTTCAATTTAAGTTATAAAAATAGTAAATTTATTAGCTTCATTGTATCTAAATTTTTCACTAAACTACACAAGTATTTGCTATTCTATACAAAATAATCAAATATTGTATTTCAAGTATATTTTGGTATATATTTTATTATATTTGTTGAACTTTTTACAAACATGTATTCATTTTATAATGATAGCAAAGTTATTATTTCATCCTTTCAACCACTTTGTTTCAATACATCTTTTAATATTATTTAGTTTTTGATAAAATCCTCTAATATTATGTTTGACTATTCATATCATATTTTAAATAATATTCACTCTAATTAAAAACTATGAAAATGATTTTTGAACTGTGAATTGACCTGTGCGTAGCACATGTGGTAATACTAGTTGATAATAAATCAGCAGCAGTATATTATATAACCAGTATAATTTACAAATTGTACTCATTCATTTATATATTAATAACTAGGATTAGTCTGCTCTATGTGCGGAATATGCTTTACGTGTGATGTATATAATTGTGTTTTTTTGGGGGAATTATACTTTATATAATTCTGATTGATACTTTAAAATGTTTATAATACGTTTTGCATAGGTGTTTCGCAAAAAAAAAATGCTTTGCATATTTATTTGTGTTTTATGTTTACTAAATTATAAGCTATGTGACTAATTTTCTTTCTATATATAATAATATTTGAGAATTATGCGATTTTAGTGGTTGATAGGAATGGGAACAGAGCTAGATTTTCTGCAAGTCTCAGTCTCGTCTGCGCAAGAAACACACCAAAAACATGCAATCACAAAGTTACTGTTCTCAAATTGCTGTTCTGATATGAAGAACTGTAGTTGCAACTTTCCATACTCCTTTGTATACTCTGTCTGAATATATTGTTGTTGAAACTCTTCTCAAAAACACAGCTTGTATCTCAGTAGTATTATCCCTCTCTCTCTTTTAAAGACATGGAGAAACGACCACAAAATACAGTCTCTATCTTCAGAAATGGTTCCAGAAAAATAATCTCAAGAAGTCATTCCCTTGGCAAGAATCGCTCAGTGTAAACACTTTGAGGTCTCGTAAAGCCTGGTTCTTTTTAAACATCAACCATGTGACACCCGACCCAGCGTAGCTAAAAAGGCCAGTGATATGACACTTGTCTCCAACCACAGAGGTGAAAATAATGTATCTTTAGGATCTTAGGACAAACCAAACTTGAAATGAAAAAAAAAAGGAAGAGGGGTGAACATTTCGACAAAAACTCAGTGAGGGAAGTTACATGAGCACCAAATCATCAACCAACTTCACCACACAACATAATAAAAGTTTTATCTAGAACATCCACTAAAACAAGCAATCAACAAGAACGAGAATAAACCCCGACAGTGCCAACATGAGACCACGCCACCTCGTTCGGTCTCCACTAATTTTATGCGATTTCCCAATAACACTAACATATTATTGTTGATGATGATGGTTTCAAATAGTTTTATTAAAAACATGATCTTGTACTTTAAAAAGAAAAGTATTTCTGAATTTTATAATTCTTGTGAATTTTATTTAATTTTTGTTTAAATTTTGAGTTTAATATAATTTTATGTATTTAAATTTAATCTTTTATTTTTCTTTATTTTCTGAAGTTTTATTTAATTTTTGAAAAATTAATTTAATTTTCTGATTTTGATTCAATTTTTGCTTTTTTAAAAATTATTTTTTTCATTTTTAATTTATTAAATATTATTTTTAGAAACAAAATTAACACATCATTGTTTTTACCTGTTCAACAGGTTAATTTTTTTACTTGATGAACAAATAAGTAAGTTAAAGTTTTTTGTGATACAAATATCACTTTGAAGGTTTAAAGTGATAGTAAAAAAATTTAAAATGCCAATGACCAATACTTTCAAGATTTTTTATGTGATTTCTCATTATTAATTTAACAAAAACATTTAAATCAGATTATACTCCTATATTTTAATATATATATATATATATATATATAATTAGAAGAATATTTTCTTAATTTATAAGACTTTTGTGTATTTAAATCATTTTTTTTTTAAAATTCGACCTTGATCCGCGGTCAAGCAGATTAAAAATATAAATATTTAAAATCACTAAAATCCAAGATTAACCGATTGAATTGACAAATGACTGATATGTAATCCAGTCTGATTTAAATTGTTATAGTTTCATAATCTGTCATCTTTTAATCCAATTTTTAACGTTTAGTATTTTACAATTTTATGAAATTATAATGTTTCTACAAAATTCGGATAGAGAAAATGATAGATAAAATATAATTAAGAACTATAATTATGTCTTGATCATATTACTCT